AGCAGTTTATTGATTTCCCCTGGGAGGAAGGAGAGGGTATCAGCTGTTTATTGATTTCCTCTGGGAGGAAATGAGAGGGTATCAGCTGTTTATTGATTTCCTCTGTGAGAAAGGAGAGGGTCTGTGAGAAAGGAGAGGGTACCAGCTGTTAATTGATTTCCCATGGGAGAAAGGAGAGGGTATCAGCTGTTAATTGATTTCCCATGGGAGAAAGGAGAGGGTACCAGCTGTTTATTGATTTTCTCTGTGAGAAAGGAGAGGGTACCAGCTGTTAATTGATTTCCCATGGGAGAATGGAGAGGGTATCAGCTGTTAATTGATTTCCCATGGGAGGAAGGAGAGGGTACCAGCTGTTTATTGATTTTCTCTGTGAGAAAGGAGAGGGTACCAGCTGTTAATTGATTTCCCATGGGAGAAAGGAGAGGGTATCAGCTGTTAATTGATTTCCCATGGGAGAAAGGAGAGGGTATCAGCTGTTAATTGATTTCCCATGGGAGAAAGGAGAGGGTACCAGCTGTTTATTGATTTTCTCTGTGAGAAAGGAGAGGGTACCAGCTGTTAATTGATTTCCTCTGGGGGGAAATGAGAGGGTACCAGTTGTTTATTGATTTCCTCTGGGAGGAAGGAGAGGGTACCAGCTGTTTATTGATTTCCTCTGGGGGGAAATGAGAGGGTACCAGTTGTTTATTGATTTCCTCTGGGGGGAAATGAGAGGGTATCAGCTGTTTATTGATTTCCCCTGGGAGGAAGGAGAGGGTACCAGTTGTTTATTGATTTCCTCTGGGGGGAAATGAGAGGGTACCAGCTGTTTATTGATTTTCTCTGGGAGGAAGGAGAGGGTACCAGTTGTTTATTGATTTCCTCTGGGAGGAAGGAGAGGGTACCAGCTGCTTATATTGATTTCCTCTGTGACAAAGAAGATGATACCAGCTGTTTATTGATTTCCCCTGGGAGGATGTGGAGGGTACCAGCTGTTTATTGATTTTCTCTGGGAGGAAGGAGAGGGTATTAGCTGTTTATTGATTTTCTCTGGGAGGAAGAAGGAGAGGGTACCAGTTTAATGAATCCCCTGGGGGAAAGGGTACCAGTTTATTGATTTCCTCTTGGAGGAAGGTGAGGGTACCAGACCAGTTTATTGATGTTTATGGGTTTCCTGTAGGAGGAAGGTGAGGGTACCAGTTTATTGATGTTTATGGGTTTCCTGTAGGAGGAAGGTGAGGGTAGCTGATTTCCTCTGGGATGAAGAGGAGAAAGCCTCATGTTTTTTTATTCCCCTGGGTGAAAGAAATGTGTACCAATTGTTCAAGGATAGGGGGATATCTTTTCTTATTCATTCCTTTCAAAACATAACTTCATGAAAATGTACTTGCCCAGTGAATGAGTACTTGTATGTTTTTCATACCAGCTTGTTCTATTTAAGAATGATATTACCTTAGTCCCTTATTGAATTTCATGTGCATTATGCAAATATTATGGTATATATCTAAACTATTCAGTCTTTTTACAGTTCATTGGACAATATGTATAAATGATAACCAACAGAGGAATGCATGTAATGGTACAAAAGTTCTTGATAACATCATAGCTGTATATATGTTTCCTTTTTATGTGATATCAATTTTAAGATGATAATCTATAATGTTGAAGCAGCCAGGCAGATTTCCAGGCACAATAGCTCAGTTTGTAGAATCTCTGTCTTGAATTCAGGTCTTTTTTGTCTCGCCTGCGACTTTCTCTTTCCGAGACATAGCGACCATAGATTCTCGTCGTCGTCGTCGTCGTCGGCGTCCAACTTTTGGTTAACCCAAATGTCAAAGTTTTATAAACTGCAATAACTTTCTCAAATTTTATTCAGTCTTCTTGAAATTTGGACACAATATTCAGTATGGATAAAAATTTATATCCCAAGTATGATTTTGAAAAAAAAAATTCAAATTTTTCCGTTTTTTTCCTTAATTGGATTAGTTTTTTCATGATAATTTATGGTGAAGACCTATATTCCAGCAACTATAAGTTATAGGGATATATAATTAGTCAGTGGATACATCATGGGTAACCACAAACGTCAGTACCAGAATTAGGTCATCTTGACCTACATTTTTCTGCATGAGTGACTTTGGTTAAATTTTTGGTGGAGGTCCATATCTCAGCATCTATAACTTATAATGGCATGATGATTTGTCATTGTACAGGTTATAAGTAACCAACAACATCAGTACCAGAATTAGGTCATTTTGACCTACATTTTTCTGCATGAATGACTTTGGTTAAATTGATAATGGAGGTTCATATTTCAGCAACTATAACTTATAGTGGCATGATAGTTAGTCAGTGGATACATCATGGGTAACCACAAACGCCTGTACCAGAATTAGGTCATCTTGACCTACATTTTAGTTCCATGAGTGACTTTGCATAAATTTATGTGTGGAGGTCCATATCTCAGCAACTATAACTTATAGTGGCATGATAATTTGTCAGTGGATACATCATGGGTAACCACAAACGCCTGTACCAGAATTAGGTCATCTTGACCTACATTTTTCCCATGAGTGACTTTGCATAAATTTATGGTGGAGGTCCATATCTCAGCAACTATAACTTATAGTGGCATGATAATTTGTCAGTCTACACATCATGGGTAACCAACAATATCAGTACCATAATTAGGTAATCTTCACCTACATTTTCTGCATGAATGACTTGATACATATACAGTGGATTTGATTTCAAAATGCAAGTTCAAATTATTGCGACTCATAACACGTTGCAATATTCGCAATAATAAAAACATCACAATAATTTGTGAATTTACAGGGTATATGTATATATATATAAATGCCAATATAATCGCCAAGGGATTAGATATTAAGTCAGCTGTTCCATTTCTTTATTATTGTATTTTTGAGTTATTCCTTCTGAAATGTCAATAAATGCTTCAGTTTATCAGACAATCATTTCTTACTAACCACAGCGACAGCAGGCGAGACACAGGGTTGCGGGCAACCCTTACGTACTTTTTTTGATCCATTAAATACAGGGTGTCCCAGAATATATGATACCATTTCATGAATATATGAAATATAAAGTAATGAATATTGAATAACAACAAATGCACTATAAACATTGCATATACTTTCCAATTTTATTCACAAAATTTTATGGACAATGAAAGGAATGCGACAAAATGAATTCACTTTGAAAAATTCTATTGTTTTCAACAAAAGTCCTCTAAATGATGTCCAATCTGGGTAATTATTATTTCTAGACATTGCACAAAATTCCATAACTTAAGACAACAGTACGTATTTGTTTAGTTATAATCTAGATTTTCATTGAATATTTACCTTTTCAGATAAATCAAAGATTTGGATTTAGGTTTAGTAACAATATCTTAAGACTGGATTTGATAATTACAGTTTTGAAATGAGGGTACCCAGCTTATTTGATAAATCAATTTTGCTTCAAATGCAATATTGAGCAATTTTTTGACGTAATTATGTGGCTACATTACTCCGACTATGTGAAAAATATTAACTGATATTATTTGTTGCTAAAAATTGTATTTACTCAAATATATAATGAGACAAATATCAAAGAAATTGGTCAAGACATGCGTTTCTGACAAGAATTTAAAATGGTATCATATATTATGGGACACCCTGTATTTTCTCTTTCCGTAATAATCCATAGGCCTATGTTATTCTCTTTCTGCACTTTAAAGTACATGTATGCTGTTTTACTTCCTATTCCCAATGAATGTAAAATAATAGTTTTATTTTTGAAGTCAAAGAGTATTTTCAATTGCTAGTATTGTCTCTTTGTACTCCCACATTCCTCTGAAAAAACTGTTTTTTCCAAAATACTATATATCCGTTTTCAAAATATTGTTTTTGCCTGTTAAACTTCAAGGTAAGTTTGTCCGAGTGTTAGTGATATATTTTTGGCAGTATACATGGAATCGATTGGCTTGATTGATTTTATCTTCTTACCAATGAACAATTCAAGTTCGCATTATTTAAATTATGACGTTTAAAAGCTTTAAACCACCTGCACTATTTGAACGTGAAATTCAGAATGTGCCTGACCTTAAGTAAGTGAATGGGGTCAAGCCTGATTTGTTTAGCTGGTGATGTGGAATTAGTATCCAGTAATGTACATGTAATAACTAAGTTATTAGCAGTCAGAAGAATTAATTTGGGACTATGGATTATTCATGTCTTGTATACTAGTAATCGGACAGAACAGTAGATTTACTGAAGTTTATAGTTCCTATACAGTGTTGCGGAGTTTTGTGTGAAATTCTCTACGAGTTACCATACATATTGTTCCATATATTGTACCATTGAGAGGAAGCGTTAGGGAGAAGTGGCAGCTATTTTTGGATGACAGGTATTTTGACCTGGTGACTAATTATTTACCTGCCAGAGACGATTGTCGGCAAGGATTTCAACACATTCTATCTTTGTCTTAAGAAAGCGGATTTTTATGTTTTTGTTCTGTTAATGTTCATAAGGTTTGTATACGTGGCATTTTTAATCAATTAGCAAAGAGTACAAGATGGGAAGATTTCATGCTTGTTTTTGCTAAGTAAAGAGCCCTCCATATGTCTATATTATATTGCCCCATCTGCAGATATTTTAATCCTCCCTCTGTTCTATGACACCCCATTCCTGCAGGTTTATGACGTACGTCATCCACATTTATCCCTATCCTCTTCTGCATCTCTCTGAATCCCGAGTGTTATCTTTGTGTACTTGATCTAATGTTTTGGCAATCTATTGGTCGGTTATGGAGGAGTTTTTGTCACCTTGTGCATTGATCTGACAGGAAAGAACACTTGTAGACAGTTGTCACACAGAGCTAAATCCAGCTATTGCATTCATTAATTTCAGTCAGTGCTTTAATTTACACTTGTTTTGGTACTCCATGGTGCCACACATGATAGAAGCATGAGAACTTTGTAACAGAGTGACACTGATATAGAATTCTTTTTTCAGTTGAAGAAATTGTTTCCTGAGGCAAGTCTACGTCTACCTGGTAAGAAGATCTTTGGTAACCTTGACCCTGACTTTATACAGCAGCGTCGGGAGGGACTAGACATCTTCATCCAGGAGCTAGTCACCAACCCCAAACTCTCACAGCAGTAAGTATACAAAACCTTAAAATAGATTCCTATTTATAACCCCTGACCCCATCACTCAGTCAGTGATTGGGGACTTGGTTGTGCTGTCTGTCTGTCTGTGTCTGCGTATTTGTCAGGGTGCTACTGTGAACTTCTGGATTAGTAAGATAATCATTACTTACACAATTGAGTTTCATCGGTAAAGCTGAATGAAGCCAAATCTGGGGTGAAGGTCAAGGCTATTTGTCAAGGTTAAGGATGCTCTAAACACTGCACACTAAAGAGCTCTATTTATTGGGTAGTTTTATGAAGTTAGAATGATCTGCCTTTAGATGTAAGATTAAAGAAATTTTATTTACCGTTAATTACATAATTTATAATAGATTAAAATATTTTTAGCATTATATAAGACCAAGAGTAAGAAATTTAATTAATTATTTTTATTTATTTTCCCAATGTAAGTAAATAACAGTGATTTCTGCTCACAAATAGTCCATTGTCTTTGAACATTTTTCCTGCGCAAATAAGGCACGTAGCCTATGTTCTAAATGAATGAAAAAGTCTCAATATGCATATCTTTATATAATATATTTTTCTCTGAGTCCAAAAAACAGTTTCTGTTAGTGTTTAGAGCTTCCTTAAGAAATTTGCTATTTCAGTAGGCACATTGTTTCACTCAGACAAGTAATTTACAACAGAATCCTGCCCAGTCTGGTCAATTCTAGAGGAGATGTACTTGTTTCATTCACTCATATTATCAAGGTCAATCTAAAGGGAAACAAAATATTTCTGATATTAACGAACTAAAGGTCACACCGAGAGATAACTTACTGGAAATGCACATATATAAACATGTTCTTTGGCACAGTGGAATAAATTCACAATTGGGATCTGAAGTTCTATAGCCTACATTCACTATTCTCAGGCCCCTTAGTACAATAATTCATTTATTATTTGATCAGCAAAAAGAAAATTGAAATTTGGACCTTACGAAAGATTTTTTTTGAATGCCTTTGAGGTGATGCACAAAATGGGTTTTTGGTTATATATGTTTGTTTAACAGAGATTGACATTTTTTAACAATAGCAGTTACGATAAAAGTATATAAATGTCATTTCTGCTGAAAACCAAATTCTGCTCAAGCCTCTGATAAATCTGGATAGATTCTGGATAGATTTTCTCCGTTTGATTAATATTCTGTTATTTTACAAGAGGTTTGTTGACATTTTTCCTCTTTCTGTAATTGTTTTTTGGGCTCTCTTTCACGGAGGTTTGGTGATCAAACTTTGATGTTCTAATGAGGAGAAGGTTTTGTGATAAAATGCACATGTTGGTAAAACATTAACACACGAGGCCTTAACCTTGGCAGGTACTTGACATCATGGTTAGGTGCCTCAGTATCGGTATTTACCTGAACATTTATATTTTGATTCTTTGAGCTTGTTTTTTAGGAACTTGAAAAGGAACAAAAAAATGCAGTGTGCACCTGAACTCATTAAATCATTTACTCTTTAAATAAAAAAACAGCAAAATTTTCTGAGTTTATTTGAATTTTTACACAATTATATATAAATGATGTAAATGATGATGTACTATTTGTAGTAATTTGATGTGTTGGCAGAATGCAGAGGGTTTTCTGTAACTATTCATGTGTCTGTCTAACTTAACTATAAGATCCCAGATTACCCTGATAAATCTGAGCAAGATAGGAGAATGCTGACTGGTGAGTTATACAAACAGCTGATTTGTCGGGGTGCCCTAGTTTAGCGGTGTATGTATAACCCTGCCGTCAATATAGATGTTTCTAATTCTGTGGCTCATATGAAGAGGAGGATATATTTGCAGTTTTAGATGATAGCTGAAGCCTTGAAAGACAAATATTTGGTAATGGAAGGTTCTGATTTCAGTTAAAAGTTTGCATGTAATTTTTATGCTTTATATGAAAATTTGCAAATGTGCTAGGGTAAATCTGATGTGCCAGTGAAAATGGAGGGGACTCTGGATTTCTTTCTGTCTGCCCCACTTTATTGGTTTTCAGGTTCTAGACTTTTTTCTAAACTCTTTGCAGATATTGAGCTGATTTTTTGATATGTTATTTCACCTTAATTAGTTTCAGATCAAGTTTGCATTTCATTCCACATTTTGATATAAACTAGACTTTTTGGCTCTCAGAGTGTTTGTTTTATTGTAATCTTCCCAGTAATATATGGCAGAAAATCTGTGGTTGAACTGATATTCATAGAAAAAACATTTTCTATGAAATATTGATTGTGGTTGACCATGTTTTTATTAGTGATAAATGAAATAAATTTCTATAAACAAAGCTCTATTTTGATTCGGCATATAGATTATTCTGAACTTAGGTCAAATCAAGATAAGAACAATCATAGTAATATTGGTCATTTTGAAGGTTTTTCTGAGATGGCTGACAACAAGGTGACTCATTGAATGCTGTTATAAATTTGAGAAAATACAAAACCTAACTGCTTTGTCAGAGAACAAGGAAATAAAATGAAACTTGATAAGAATCTCAAGTATTGCTAATTAAAAGTTATAACTGGACCGCTGGGCTTTCCCTTATAAGTTTATTACAGTGAGATGTTGTTGTAGTTTTACTATAAATCAGACTAATCAAGTGTTATTAATGTTTTTTGATTTGGAATATTAGCAGGTGATTGCTTTCATTCCAGTTATGACTGTGCAACTACTTGGAGGAGGAAAGCCCTTGTAATTTGTAAATTCAACATAAAATGAAGAACTATCTTTGAAAATTTAAAATGACATTTTCTTAGTTAAAAAAAAAACCACTAAAAATAATGTCAAAATTAAGAACATATCTTGTGTCAAAACATAGAAAATGCGTAATTTTGTGGTAGAAAATCCCATAAAAATCTAGATGTGAACACTTTGAATTTACGCAGCTACTGGTACATGCAGGTTTTATCTGTTTATATGTAAATCCATCGTCGCAAACCACGGCCAAAATGTACGCTCCTCTCCCATTCTGGCCGTGGTTGAACGAGGAGAGAATTCTTCGTAGCTCATTAAAATATTGACCAATGCGAGTAAAGCATAGTCGGATGATGATTTTGTGCAGTAAAGGAAATGTTAGCCTAGTACCCGAGGCCTTCCGAGTAGCACTCGGAAGGCCTCGGGTACTAGGCTAAGGAAATGTTTCTTGTATACTGTTGACGTCAGTTGTTGATTCGATTGCGATGGAAACAAAACTTGCCACTGACTGAATATGACGTCACAATAGAGAGGCGTGAATATTCAAGATTACGACATTTTTTGTGATCAGCAGCCACGGGTAGGAGAGAGCTATATATGCTGTGGCTTGAGACGATGATGTAAATCTGGTGCCTTCAAATTCAAAACAGGATTCTCGTTAATTTTCATTGTTAATTAATCCTGTGGGTTAATGTGAGAACACCCTCTGATATGTTTGGAGATGTAACCCAGTGAACAGGAAGTCCCCCATGATGTTTTTATTTAAGCTTTGATATAAGCAGGTCATACTTGTTCCTGGTCATTTTATGAAATCTCGTCATGTTCTGAATTAAGGAGCATGAACTCAAGTCAGCGTACGTCGAACATAATTAAAATAAATGTATTGTTTCAAAACATCTTCAAACCTTAAAAGCTGCAATGAGAAATCAATGATATTCATATTTTTGATTAATTTTGGAAAAAAAGCATCTTAAGTGCACTCATAAATATGATAATAAGATTTAATGAACACCCCCCACTCACCACACCCCCTTCCCCCTTCCTGTACTTGTCAAACTATTTATGAAAGTTTTATCATTGATAAGTGATTCAAAAACTGAGGGTATGTTGAATTATGAAGCAAAAGACAGTACTTATGCAATTTTTAATATCCTGTCAAAATATTTTGGATCTAGTTTTCATTCCATAAGTTACTCCTTCATTTCTACAGGTTACTTCTGTATTAGAATTGGTCATCTACCTGCCAAGAAATTAACTTGTAACCGTGATGAAATGGCCATAAGGTTCACTCACACCTTAATTATTAAATCTGTAAAAGAAAATTTGATGTAAGAGGTTTTGTTACAATTTCTAAATGAAATTTAAAGTCCTTTCAACTTGTCTTAACTGTTAAAGAGATTTACAGTATTAAATATATCCCGTAATTAAACCTATATATACGTAGGTAAATTGTTACAAGTGATGATTAAAAGATATTGTTCATTACTAAAGTGACATAAATAGAAAGTCTTTGTATAACTGTGTTTGACAATATAGATATTAAAGAAGAAGCTTGTGTTTTATTTCCTTGAGTTGATGGACAGGTTGCGAGGTTTACCTGTGTGAGATTGACAGGTAAAGGTGTCAGGTGAGAACACTGGGAAGAAGACAGAACACTGCCCTGTAGTAGTGAGCCGTGACTCCACTCAAGATTTTCTCCTTGGTTTTCTTTCTTTTTTCTTCTGTTCTTTGCTGTGGTTTTTATTTTTTTCTGTTATTTGGAATTTCTAAAGTAGCCAAAGGTGAGCGCTCTTTCTTTTTCCTTAAACTTTAAAGTCTCTTTAGAACTGAGTCCATCTTCAATACGTTAATTTACAGGCTCCTAATATAGGCTGAAGATGAAGATATAAATGAGAGAGATATAGGTAATAATTGTAACTTTACAACGTCCTCATTTGTAAGTGCAGTTTGTTATTTTGTTACCAGCAACACCCCGGGACATAAAATGACATCTTGACCTTTGATTCACATATATTCATTCAGTCAGTGTAGGTAGGGGATAGGTGAGAGGGGTAAAATATTACTCTTGACATCATAGCTGGTCAGAGATTGGCGTTAGGCCCAGGACTTAAGTGGGACACTTGTTGCATCACGCCAGTCATGAATGTTGTGAATGACTTACTGATCCAATAACTACTCAGCTGACAGTAGCTGTTTAAGGAAAGAACAGTGTTTTATTTGTACTTTATATACTTAGTAACTCTTCAGTGACTTTCCATTATCTTAATGTGACTTTACAAAAGTAACAATACAGGATTTTTCTTCATTTGTATAAGGTAATTATTCAGCAAATTCACATGGCATTATAAATTTGATTTATGGAAGCTATTCAGTGCATATTGAATTCTGAGTGACTTTAATGTTATGTAAATGATATTTTATCCATTTGTGTATCTAAGTCATTAAGCCTGGTATAAGAAGTCGGAGTGGGACTTTCTGAGTCTGGTGTCAGCCTTGTAGGTATTTGTTTGTCCCCTATAAGTGTCTGATACAATACTTTGTAACAATACCTGTTTATTTTGACAACTTCAGATTAAATTGTTCACTTTAATGGTCATCTGTTGTTCTCTGTGCTTATTTGTACCACATTAGTAATAATTGGTCTACGTAAGGGGCCCAAGGGACTTAATGTGTGTGATGGCGTCAGTGTGACCCCTAGGGTGATATTACACCTTTGTGGAATATGCTGATACACCTGAATTACAGGCCTAGAGAGCCAACAGGTAGAGCTTTCTCATTATCATATTCCAGGTAAAAAAAAAATTGAGATTTAAATCATGGAGAGAAAATGACCCAGCACTGTCATCAGACCGACACTCGTTATGAAGCTGAGAAACATAGCAGATGTATTTTTAGTTTGGAGCAAAAAGAGGTCCAAAATCAGTGAACCTGGTGCATTACCACACTCGGCATCATGGTAATTAACCAACCATCAACGATTACAACTGTGTTTCCCGTAATTTTAATTTGAAATTAAAATTTCTCTTTTTTTGCATTACAGTCCGGAAGTGCGAGCTTTCCTGAATTTGGACAACCCGCGGAATGTTCAGGATTCTGTAGACAATTTTGATGATTCTGAAGCCATGGTGAGACAAAGTGATTTAGAATAACCTGGTTATTTGAAGAAAAAACATTACAAAATTCAATTGAAATAATTCAAATCAGGTAATTAATTTTTCATTAATTAATATTCACAGAATGAAAGAGATGTCAACCCGGTCAATTTGGGACCCAGTGAAAAGAAAACGTAAGTTAAAACGTTAATGAGGAAAGAAATATTTTCTAACTTTAGACATATTTCAGTCATAAGCTTAAAAATTTATAATTGAGAGGGAAGGATATTTTTAAATAAATGTACTATAAATTTAAATGTTTGATTGGTATTATTTTGCAGTGTTAAACCCAGTGATTTTGAATTCCTAAAAGTTATTGGAAAGGGAAGTTTTGGCAAAGTATTGCTGGCCAGAAATAAAAATGAAGGGAACATTTATGCCATCAAAGTGCTACAAAAACAGGCAATCATGAAACGGAACGAAGTGAAACACATAATGTCAGAACGGAATGTACTGCTTAAAAATGTCAAGCATCCATTTCTAGTGGGACTACACTACTCCTTCCAAACAGTGGATAAATTATACTTTGTTCTGGACTATGTGAACGGAGGAGAGGTCAGTACCCTTTGTCGCCTACTGCTTTATTCTCCTCGTATTCTTCAACAATTTGTAAGACAAATGTCAAACCCAGTGGTGATTTGAGAGTTAACACCTGTGAATTGACATCTAGATTTATTTTTTACGTTTTCTGGGGTGAATCTCCACATCTCCACACAGTTTCACCTGATGATCAATCTTAAATCTAACATGTAAATGTCACTTAATTAATGAACCACAAAGTCTTAGGCTGGTCGCAATATTGTCAGATTGGAAAGTAAACCTCAAAGATTTATGTCCCAATGACAGATAAAAATCTATAATTCTTAACCTCTACCATAGCAGATATTAACTGTCTTAAATAATATTTATTTCACCTTCTTTTGTTTCCACAATGACACATTATTTACAATTTCACTGTTCTCCTTATTTACTTTTAAAACCAATCTAATTAAAATTAGATGATCTGAATCAAATTGAGTTTGAGAAGCAGTAGCTGATTCAGAACATCTACTGTTAATTAGAATGTGTTAATTAATACCGCTACATCTTCAAACAAAAGATGTCTGTTTCTGTCCAAATTAAGAAAACTACCAGAACATTCTCTATTCTTTTTATCATGCCAGTCTCTGTTTACGGCATATCATTATTTCATGTCTGAATTAGTTCTAGACTAGTTTCTCTGCACTATTTTTATTCAATTAATTTAGAATCCAGAGCAGTTCTGTATTTATTCTATCTTACCTTGCTTTTTTTAAGAAGTGTCATTATTCTTCTTAATGTTTATGATTCTGCGTCTATTTCTGTACAGTATATTTATGAAATCTTTGATCATCTTTATTAATTGCTGTAAGAACTAAGGAATATGCATTAATGCCCTGATTGACAGCTAAGGGGAGATCATCAGACATTGTGGTGTCATTGTGCTGATGTACTAGTTAGCCCCACGTAAAAAATAATGATATTCAGATTGTATAGCCCCAGGCCTTTTGTTGAAAAGGATTCCATATTTAGAAGGACTATAAACCATATAAATGACACAACAGAATTTGTATGATTTAATTTTTCATCCAGTATAATTTTGCGTCTATTTCAGCTGTTTTTCCATCTGCAGAGGGAGCGATATTTTCCTGAGCAGCGAGCCAAGTTTTACGCCGCTGAGATGGCCAGTGCCATTGGTTACCTGCATTCCCTAAACATAATCTACAGGTACTGATTGTCCCAAGACTCAAAAGTCACAGCTCTGACAACATTATGCAATCATGTCTGGATTAGCCATTTATTTGGAAATCTTTTGTTGAATATTTATATTTGATTCTTAAATTTCTATGTAAGGAGGGAGGGAGGTTGTATGATTAATTTCTCCTTGTGCATTGCTTTTGATTAAAAGATAATTAATTCTAGGGAAATGCATACAAGAGAATTTTCTCAAGTGCAATTGTACACATGCTACTTATGTCTGTGTGGAGTGTACATGGTCTTAATGACACACAGATCTGCAGTACAGGGCCCAAGTCACGATTTGATTCTACAACATATGTCTTTAGTGATAGAGCCAATGTAATGGGGCTATGAATTTCACTAACTAACATTTGATTTACCACCATTTCCGGTCATACTTTGTAAAACCTTTATTTAACTTCTGGTAAATGTTGATTAATGAATGAAAAGGTGAGAGGAGATTTTGGTGTAGGTTAGATCACCGGGTAATATGTGTCATCGTTAGCCAAATTTACATACTGACGAGCTAAAACGCAAGACCACACTCATTCTATTTCCTTGTGAAAATTTGCATTCATGTAAAATAGATTCTAAATTAATACAGTGAAACAATGATATTACATTTAAGAATTCAAACAATTTGTAAATATTTTGAGATTTTTATGCCAAAATGAATATGCAATTTTTAGAAAATATTTGTATGTAACTTATTTTTGGGGAGGCAACAACATAGTAATTAAAAATGATGTGTTACTTCAAAACATCGTCTAAATAACGATTTTTCACATTTTTTTGGTCCTTGAAAAATATCAATAATTGTTATTCATAGAGGGTACTTTCCAAAAACAAATTTAGTGCAATTATTTTTCCATCAACTTGGAAAGTAATGCTAATATGTATTAGCTTATCATATGAATTCAAAGAAAAATATTTTTCGGTTCCTTATAAATTATGATAATGCAAATCTTAAATTTTTCATAGTTGAAATTAAAACGTAAGCATTTAACATCATTTGAATTAAAGATCTATAATACATGTATTACTTTTCAAACAATTTGTAAATATTTTGAGATTTTTATGCCAAAATGAATTGCAATTTTTAGAAAATATTTGTGTGTAACGTATTTTTGGGGAGGCAACAACATAGTAATTAAAAATGATGTTTTACTTCAAAACATCGTCTAAATAATGATTTTTCACATTTTTTTGGTCCTTGAAAAATATCAATAATTGTTATTCATAGAGGGTACTTTCCAAAACAAATTTAGTGCAATTATTTTTCCATCAACTTGGAAAGTAATGCTATATGTATTAGCTTATCGTATGAATTCAAAGAAAAATATTTTTCAGTTCCTTATAAATTATGATAATGCAAATCTTAAATTTTTCATAGTTGAAATTAAAACGTAAGCATTTAACATCACTTGAATTAAAGATCTATAATACATGTATTACTTTTCAAAAAAGATAGTCTTCAGACTTTGAATTTAAACGTCATATATTGTAAACAACTGATTGTTTATATGTTGATATTAAAATATTTTAAGTGTGGATTTTTTTATGTTTTTGCAGAGATCTCAAACCAGAAAACATTCTTCTTGATTCCAAGGTATATCTCTTATAGTTTGTGTTCACATAGAGGTATCTTATCCTAATGAATACTTAAAATTAAGTCATTTTAGTTTTAGTATTTGATGTATTGTAGAACCTTGTTGTAATTTTGTGGTTATTTTACAGGGACACATCACCCTGACGGACTTTGGTCTGTGTAAGGAGGGGATAGAAGGCATGGGGACGACCAACACCTTCTGTGGCACTCCAGAGGTAGGCATCAAGTCTGGATAAGCCACCTTAAGATTGAATTTTAATTGAGGAGAATTATGTAAGGAAGTCAGACATTCCAGAAATGTTTAGGCAATCATGCACCTAATAACTTCCCTGCATTGCTTTTGTTTTCAATGCCAACTTCTTAATTATAAAATCAAATCAAGTAAAATCAACAGCTAATTAATCAAAAGAGAAATTAATTTCACTAACTTCAATAATTTATTAAAAAGACAGGTGTGATTAAATTTGTTTACACTAGTTGTATCACAAAGATCAGACACTTAACTTCCTGAGGACTTAATTCTTGTTTACGAATTCCACCTGATCACATTTTAATTAAGGCATCAGACTAGACCTTTTAGACATTAAATCAAGGCAACACTGATTACCAATCATGTCAACATGCCATATGCTCATTACCAAATCAATATTTTAATAAAGTTCATGTCTAACAATTTACTGTGGTTAACACCTGTCCCAGCCCTGTTCTGTTGTCTGTTAGGGTGTCACCCTGTTCACATCCTGTGGTGCCGGAACCTCCCTTGGCCTTTGCACTGTTTTCAATTCTTTATTTGCTCAAAACAGAATCACTGGTACACAAGATACATGTATTTGCAAATATATACACAAATAACTCAAAAAAAATTTACACAGTTATATGAAAAAATAAAACATATAACTAGTTGATTGATTAAATTTTTTTGAGACGTCGTGTTTTGTATTTCAACATTGTTTGTGTACATCAAACTTGAAAATTTTAGGATTTTTTTCACAATTTCTGTCCGGAGAAATATTTCCCATGTCTTAAATTGATTGACACCATTCAATGCCTGTGTGTTAAGACTCTTAAACAAGCTGAGAATGTCAATTAAATTTTTTCGCTGTGCCTATTCAGAATTGATGAACAAGGAAATAGTTTTTTTTTTCTCTTCACCTGCAGGGAGCAGATTAGGATTTTAATTAATTAGCATACATACATACTTCTAATCTTAACATAAATAGTCAAAGCCTGGGGTTTTAAAAACATTTTTTCAGAAACCACAGAGTGACATACCACTAAAAAACACTTAACATGAATTAACATGATGTAACATAGTGCGTATTTATGAGAACAATTCTTTTCTCTGGTTGTTGACATTGCACTGAACAACTCTAGTTAATGCATCTTATGTCAAGAAACTTTTAATTGTCACATAAACTTGATTTGTATTGAAAGCAATTACCTGTCCAGCCAATAATTGTAAAAATGCATATTTTCATCTCTAAAAATTTTTCATTTATTTGTTATCTTTTTTAAAAAATTTTATTTTTGTATGTGTTTATGTTTCTATTTTCTAATGGACTTAGGGTTCATGTAAATGCGTAGTACACTATTCTACATGCATACCAAGTACTGTCACAATTCTTGTTTTCATGTCACAATAAAACCAGGTACCAGGGCTCTGTCTGACACTTATTACATTCAGTCTTTGACTTGCAGATCAGGTAAATGTTAATTAGGTATAATAATTGATTGGTTTGGTTTGTGTTTTAGTACCTGGCCCCTGAAGTGTTGCGGAAGCAGCCCTATGATAAGACGGTAGACTGGTGGTGTCTTGGGGCCGTTATGTACGAGATGATGTATGGACTGGTATGTAGCCTTTGTACTCTAAACTCAGAATTATAAGAATTTGTACTTTAGTTTCAAGGTCATTATAAATCTCAAATTGAGTCATATCAGAAGGAATTATGTTATGCAAGTGCAAGTGATTTTTAATCATAAAATAAATAGCCAATACTAGCATGTAAGAATTTAAGCAGTGATTTCTAAATGTCCATGTATGTATGGTTTATTTTTCCTTTTGTCCAGCCCCCGTTCTACAGTCGAGACACAGCGGAGATGTACGACAACATCCTGTATAAACCCCTCCGATTACGAACCAATGTGTCACAGTCAGCTCGACAGATACTAGACGGGGTGAGTGTCAGAAAATTCAAACTCATTCTTCAAGTGAATCCTGATATAAAAAATATAAATTCTAAGTTTATTTGTTGAATTCACATGTAAGACAGTAAAACTTGCTCAAAAGAAGTTCATTGGGAAAGGATGTCACAATATAAGGGATGGGGAAAGATTTAAATTCTTATTAACTTTGAATTCATTATAGTCAAGATTTCTGTACAGACTTCTTGTGAAATATGAGGTTGATAATTAAACTTTACCTTAACTTAAGATTTGTGTTTGATCTTAGTTATTACAAAAAGAGAAAGAACAGAGACTGGGATCAAAGCGCGACTTCCAGGAGATCAGGAATCATAACTTCTTTGCTGACATGAACTGGGATGACCTGGATGGCAAGAAAATCAATCCTCCATATAACCCCAACGTGGTATGTGCTTACTTCATTAGATATCTATCTCAAATAGAACAAACAATAAAGCCATGTTGATAGGCTTTTATTTCATAAGATGTCTGGATTTTACCAAGATATCGCAGGCAGAAGCTCTCAAACAACAAGTAACTTCTCCAAAACTTCAGTATAGTTAACATCATATTTTTTGTTTCAGAGTGGTCAGCTTGATTTAAAACACTTTGATCCAGAGTTTGTCAGAGAACCAGTACCTGGTATGTAAATCCTCAGTATAACTCAAATTCTGTTTGTGGAACAAGAAATTTTTACATTCAAATGTCATAAATCTTTTTTTGTCATAGTTTCGAGATAATTGAACAATCCCATTGCATAAAAATCAGACAGAGATTTCTGCCGGATACTACAATGTATTTGTTTAAACTTTTATGAGTTAGAAATGTTAAGTGGCTGAGGTGTTCGACTGAGGGATGACTTATGACTGATATTTTGATTTCAGCCTCGGTAGGGAAGTCAGTGGGGAGCTGTAAGCTAGTGAGTGCCAGTGTAATGGAAGCTGACAACATGTTCCAAGGATTCTCCTACGTCCCTCCAGCAGAAGATGCCTTCAGCTAGGACCAACTGTCGTCTGCTTCTGTCATCTAGTCTGTGATTGGTCAGCACATCATACATCTCATCCAATGAACAAATAGCTGAGTGGAAACTGCTGAATGGGAGGTCCCAGGACTTGTGTGTGATTGGTTAAAGAAGGATACTGTTAATTTAAGGATTGATGTTTGTTGAATGATTACCAAGGGATAGTAGCAGTCCCCAGCCTCGTGCTGTTCTCCAGTAATAGGAGGTGGCCCTGTGATACCGTGACACAATGATGTCTTTCAGCAACTGTTTTACTGACTGAATATTAAGTGAATCGTGTCAGATTATGAAAGTCGGTGGAGGTGATAACGAACTCATCAATATGCACATCGTATGTTTGGTGTCAATTGACAGACATAATATATTGGTCAATTACTTAAAAACAACGATATCTAATAATAGTCATTGTGAAGTGGTCAGTTTTGTGACCCATTTTCTACTTGGTTATGAGTACACTCATATTTGAAATATACTTGGTTACGAGTACATTCATGTTTGTAATTTATTGTTTATTTTCCCATCAATTGTATTCCAGAATCAGTATGAAGCATATTCTTTTTAATCAAACATTTTCAATATTTTTTTGTTCAGTGCCTTCTTTCCTGCTTTTTAAATTTGAAGGTTGATTGTGTGATTCTTTATAGGGCAGAGACTTTTAGCATTATATCGCATTTTGTCTTTGTATCATGGAAATAAGTAGAATTGTGAGTGATGTTGATATAATTTAGTATTTCAAAACATTTCCCATTATCCTGAATTCGCAGATAGAACACAACGAAATGTACCTCCTATAATAAGACTGGTCCCGGTTTTATTTTTACATAATTCTTCACACAAACTAATACGAATAACATATCAAAAATCATGAACCTGTCATTTTATCAGCGATATGGTCCACATATTGTGGGCCAGTTGTACATTTTGCCAGATTTTTTTTATATTAACATTAAGGTGCTGTGATACTTTTTCTGCCATCTGCCAGTATTGCTAGGGGCAGATAACTGCCTTATATTGTCCAATCAGGAGTGCCCTCTAGTGGAGTATTTCTGAAACAGTGATACTGTGATTTTTTTAATACAAAAATATTGTTATTTGTTTAAGATATTGTTATTGAGCAACATGTGTATATTAAATACTCAATGTGCAATTGATTATATTATGAGGAATCAAATGACAATAAAACAGATAAAAACATTATTAATGTGACTGATTTTCTTTTAAACCCACAAACAATACAATCTGTGTACACAGGTGGGATTAGATGCCTAGAACAGGATATAAGACACAGGTAGGATCAGGTGTATGGAACAGGATATAAGACACAGATGAGATCAGGTGCATGGAACAGGATATAAGACACAGGTGGGATCAGGTGTATGGGTGGGAAGGTGTATGGAACAGGATATAAGACACAGGTGGGATCAGGTGCATGGAACAGGATATAAGACAGGTGGGATCAGGGGCCTAGAACAGGGTATAAGACACAGGTGGGATCAGGTGCATGGAACAGGGTATAAGACACAGGTGGGATCAGGTGCATGGAACAGGATATAAGACACAGGTGGGATCAGGTGTATGGAACAGGATATAAGACACAGGTGGGATCAGGTGCATGGAACAGGGTATAAGACACAGATGGGATCAGGTGCATGGAACAGGGTATAAGACACAGGTGGGATCAGGTGCATGGAAAAGGATAAGACACAGTGGGATCAGGTGCATGAAACAGGGTATAAGACACAGGTGGGATCAGGTGCATGGAACAGGGTATAAGACACAGATGGGATCAGGTGCATGGAACAGGATATAAGACACAGGTGGGATCAGGTGTATGGAACAGGATATAAGACACAGGTGGGATCAGGTGCATGGAAAAGGATATAAGACACAGGTGGGATCAGGTGCATGGAACAGGGTATAAGACACAGGTGGGATCAGGTGCATGGAACAGGATATAAGACACAGGTGGGATCAGGTGCATGGAACAGGATATAAGACACAGGTGGGATCAGGTGCATGGAACAGGATATAAGACACAGGTGGGATCAGGTGTATGGAACAGGATATAAGACACAGGTGGGATCAGGTGTATGGAACAGGATATAAGACACAGGTGGGATCAGGTGTATGGAACAGGATATAAGACACAGGTGGGATCAGGGGCCTAGAACAGGGTATAAGACACAGGTGGGATCAGGTGCATGGAACAGGATATAAGACACAGGTGGGATCAGGTGTATGGAACAGGATATAAGACACAGGTGGGATCAGGGGCCTAGAACAGGGTATAAGACACAGGTGGGATCAGGTGCATGGAACAGGATATAAGACACAGGTGGGATCAGGTGTATGGAACAGGATATAAGACACAGGTGGGATCAGGTGTATGGAACAGGATATAAGACACAGGTGGGATCAGGTGCATGGAACAGGATATAAGACACAGGTGGGATCAGGTGTATGGAACAGGATATAAGACACAGGTGGGATCAGGGGCCTAGAACAGGGTATAAGACACAGATGGGATCAGGTGCATGTAACAGGGTATAAGACACAGGTGGGATCAGGTGCATGGAAAAGGATATAAGACACAGGTGGGATCAGGTGCATGTAACAGGGTATAAAACACAGGTGGGATCAGGTGCATAAAAAAGGATATAAGACACAGGTGGGATGAGGTGCCTAGAACAGGATATAAGACGCAGGTGGGATCAGGTGCATGGAACAGGGTATAAGACACAGGTGGGATCAGGTGCATGGAACAGGGTATAAGACACAGGTGGGATCAGGGGCCTAGAACAGGATATAAGACACAGGTGGGATCAGGTGCATGGAACAGGGTATAAGACACAGGTGGGATCAGGTGCATGGAACAGGGTATAAGACACAGGTGGGATCAGGTGCATGGAACAGGGTATAAGACACAGGTGGGATCAGGTGCATGGAACAGGATATAAGACACAGGTGGGATCAGGTGTATGGAACAGGATATAAGACACAGGTGGGATCAGGTGTATGGAACAGGATATAAGACACAGGTGGGATCAGGTGCATGGAACAGGATATAAGACACAGGTGGGATCAGGTGCATGTAACAGGGTATAAGACACAGGTGGGATCAGATGCATGGAAAAGGATATAAGACACAGGTGGGATCAGGTGCCTAGAACAGGATATAAGACACAGGTGGGATCAGGTGCCTAGAACAGGATATGACACAGGTGGGATCAGGTGTATGGAACAGGGTATAAGACACAGGTTGGAACACGTGCCTGGAAGGAGTAAGCATGCCCTACCAATGGTTTATACCCACCATAATCTCTATGAAATAATCAGATAGGTAGCGTATTCTGAAGTCAGATTTAGTATGAAAACAAAGACAAAATGGTATAGGACCAAAACACAGTCCAATGTTAGGTTATATCTGCCAAGAGGGTCAAAGACCATGCATAAAATTTACTGATTGATGATATCAAACAGGTTTGTTAAAATCCTTGTATTTTAAAGTTATTTGTCAGTAGCCTTCTCAGGTTTAAAGATTGCTTAAACTCGGAGAATGTTTGTGAATATTGAATCAGTTTGTAGACAATAACATCCTATGATGGTGATAGTGGAATAATTACTAGTAGTATTACATAAAGAAGAAAAGTTGACGATGGAAAAGTGAAGATGAAGCATCCAAATATGAAGTAGATGTGGCAGCTTTTGTGGCGTCTAAATATTCTGAGGTATGTCTATGAGTTTATAATAGCACTGAACGTTTTAATGAAATCTCTGTTGTTATAACCTACTGTTTAAATGTGTATTAAAATGTAATATCATCCAAGAGTTTTATAAAACAGGTAACTGTTTGTTGCTTTTTTTTTTTTGCCTGTCAATGTACTTCTTTTTTAATTCAATCAAACTATATTCACTTAAAAAATCCACTACAATTAAATACCGTAAAGAAAAATAAGAAGAAAAAATTGTGGTAGAAGATTTTTTAAAGAACTTAAAAAAATATCACAGTACTGTACCAGTCTTCGTTCCTCGACTTCTGTTCAGAAGGCATTTTGAGTTGCGGGGGGGGGGGGGGGTTGCAAGTTAGAGCAAGTGCAGAAAGGTCATATACATGATGTACTTGTAAATTAAATTTACTGTAGCACTGAACGACGCAAATTGACCCCAAATTCTGTCGCGTTTTGAATTATCATTTAGCAACGAGTAAAAAAATTATAGAAAAATTACTGTAAAAACAGAAAGACGCAAATTGACCTCCATTTCCGTCATGCATTCTTTTAGCAGCGATGTAGGAGGAAACGCTTTCAAACTGTTTTTTTTTTAATCTAAACATTTGATAGCAGGACCCAATGACCTTAAATATATTGAGATGTTTTGTTAGTCATCTTGACGACTTTTATCTTGACAAGCTCTCATTTTTATTCATGAGAGAAAATATTTTTGGTCATTCTTCGATAAAAAAAAATCGTAATAAATTGATGTTTACATCTACCAGTCTATATTTAAAGAAATCGAAACGTTTAAAATAGGGCATTAAGTGATATCACTCATTTGACAAAACAGTGGGTGATAAAACACGTACACTAATTAATAATAGCAAGTTATGAATTAGCGAAATCACCAATTCGAAATGAAATCAACATTAGTTATAAACCATTACCCAATCCATTACGTGACATTAATTAAACCTGCATTGGTGATAATCAAAAAGAAGATAAATAGGTTATATCACTAAATGGCAACAAAATCTATTTTAGCACTCCTTATACAGAACTCTAAAACTTAAAATATGACACAAAAAATAACGAATCAATGCCAAAAGGAAGATAACTCTCGTAACGCGCTAATACCGGGGACTAATCCTGAAAACAGTCTCACTCCAGGTGAAAAAAAAATTAATACGTCATTATTGACAGGAAAAAGTCAGCTGGGATGAAAGCATTTTGATTTTCAAGACCCTTATTTATAACGGTCAAACAACACTGCTATAAACAATATGCACTGGGTGACCATCTCTAGACACTAACAATGGTAGGCTGCCACAGGGTGACTACTTCTAGACATTGGCAGTGGTAAGCTGCCACTGGGTAACCGCCTCTAGACACTGCTAATGATAGGCTGCTACTGGGTAACCGCCTTATTACACTGCTAATGATAGGCTGCTACTGGGTGACTGCCTCTAGACACTGCTAATGATAGGCTACTACTGGGTAACCGCCCCTAGACACTGCTAATGATAGGCTGCTACTGGGTGACCACCTCTAAACACTGTCAGTGGAAGACTGCCACTAGGTGACCACCTCTAGACACTAACCATGGTAGGCTGCCACTGGATGTCACCTAACTCTAGACACTGCCAATGGTAGGCTGTCACTGGATGTCACCTAGCTCTAGACACTGCCAATGGTAGGCTGTCACTGGATGTCACCTCTAGACACTGCCAATGGTGGGCTACTACTGGGTGACCACCTCTAGACACTGTCAATGGAAGACTGCCACTGGGTGACCATTTCTAGACACTGCCAATGGTAGGATGCCACTGGGTGACCACCTCTAGACACTGCCAACTCTATAGGATGCCACTAGGTGACCACCTCTAGACACTGCCAATGGTGGGCTACTACTGGGTGACCACCTCTAGACACTGCCAATGGTAGGCTACTACTGGGTGAACCCATCTAGACACTGTCAGTGGAAGGTTGCCACTGGGTGACCACTTCTAGACACTGCCAATGGTAGGATGCCACTGGGTGAGCACCTCTAGACACTGACAAATGCCACGCGGTTACCAACTCCAGTCTGTACCAACAGTAAGCTGCCACAGAGTAACTGACCCCAGAATCCGGCCGTGCAGGTTGCATGCAGCTGGAACTTGGTTACCACCTTCTTATACTTTGCCACTATCAAGGTTACGTGGGCTGCCACTCACTAGTCATTCACACCTATCTCCCTGTTCTGTATATATTTAACGTTCAAATCTGACAAATGTTCCAGATAAAATAAATTTACAAACGTAGGAGGTAGAGTAATAAGTTAATAACCATGACCATTGTGATCTAAGAGACAAGATAATGCAATTTGTAAAAATATACCTTTAAAAAAGAAACATGTAAATAAGATGTTCAAAAATAATTAAGAAATTCCTAAATCAAAAAGTTTACATAACCCTTCTATGGAAATTTGCTCAAAGTGCGTCA